CTGTTTTTGCTCATTTCTCGAAAGCAAAATGAGCCAGAGGGCTCATCTTTACATCATTACAGAGAGAACTAAATGGCCTTTTTAGAAAGTGTTTTGTCTTCCAAGGCAGCTGGTTTTCCTTCAATCAAACATAAACAGTAGCAAAAATCACTTTTGTGCAAACAGTTACTAGACAAGTCTCTGGCTGAACGTCATACACAGATTACAGAGTGTTAAGTTAACCTCTGTGATCTGTGACACCATATTCTTTCAACGTCAATTAAATCTCGGTAAAAAACGCGTCTTATCTATGGCGAAAGGGTCAAAGTGGCGCCTCGAGAATGACGCTGCTGCTGCATAATCTTTATGCTGCGCTCTGAGGGGACTGTTTCCCAACCTGTCCTTGTCTTTATCAATGCACCAAACTCGCAAATTCATCTGGGTGAAGGGGTCAAGGTCGACCCAAGATGCGGCTGTGTTTGCGGAACAGCTTAGGAGTTTAGATCATAGATAAAGGCGAGTAGTAGACGAGGTTTGGATTAGGTGGCAGCATGCAGTCGGTGGGTAAAGTCGTGGTGAGGAGCGTTGCCCGCAGAGCCCCTTGGCAGGAGGTGGCCATCCCGATCCCCTGGGGCGAGATCAGGGGCAAATGGTGGGGCCCCCTGGACCGGAGGCCCATCCTGGCGCTGCACGGCTGGCAGGTGAGTGTTTGTGGGGTGGCTGTGCGCTGTGGACTCAAGGGGCTGGTTTACAGGACAGCAGCGGAAGCTTCGACCGGCTGCTGCCGCTGCTGCAGGAGGAGCAGCGCAGCTTCCTCGCCATTGACCTGCCGGGGCACGGGTTCTCCTCCCGGTTGCCCCCGGGGGTCTACTACGACTACCCGGCCTACATCTTCACGCTGCAGCACATCGCGCAGCACTTCCAGTGGCCGAAGCTGTCGCTGATGGGGCACTCCCTAGGGGGCATCATCGCCTACTCCTACACCATGTTCTACCCGCAGCAGGTGGACTTTGTCGTGAGCATGGACGGCATCAAGCCCCTGGTCCACAAGGACCGCATCTCGCTAATGGCCAAGAACCTGCAGGCGTTCCTGCGCGGCAACGAGCACGCGATGAGCGCGGAGGAGCCGCCCAGCTACACTCTGGAGGAGATGAAGCAGCGCGTGCACCTCTCCAATTGGCGCTCGGTCGCCTTGGAGTTCGCCCCCTATTTGCTCTACCGCAACATTGAGCCGTCGCGGCGCAGCCCCGGCAAGTTCTTCTTCACGAGGGACCCGCGGCTGCAGTCGGGGACACTGATGGGGTTCTCGCAGGAGGAGATCGTCGCGCAGGCGCACCACATCACCTGCCCCATTTTCGTGTCCAAGTCCACGGAGGGCGGCTACTATGAGAAGAAGGAGCACTTCTACCAGGTGATGGACGTGCTGAAGCGCAGCAGCGCCCACTACGACTTTCACTATGTGGAGGGCACGCACCACGCCCACCTGAACCAGCCGGAGGGGCTGGCGGCGCCGCTGCGCGAGTTYCTGGCGCGGCGCAGCCCTGCGGAGCCCCAAGCCGGCTTGAATGGGGCGCGCCTCGTAAGCGAAAGCGAAGACCCGCGCGTGTCCCGGAACAGGCTTGAACAGGTTTTGGGAGGCTGACCACAGTAAGACCATTACTTACCTAGTTGTAAGGGTTTTAGCGGGGGCTTCGCCCCAAGATGCGGGTGTTAGTGAGACGCTGAATAGATCGATATTTTTTTTCATCSGGGGCTTCTTTGYGTCCCAGAACCTGCCCCTGTCCMAAGMTCCATCGCCCCCCTACTSRGGCTTCGCYMKYCCCAYAAAKACKGYAGCTWATCAGCRTWCGTGARCTGATAATGGGATTAGKGGCTTTGTAGCTTTGGCCGACGGACTGGACTGGATGGCGGATGCGCCACCGTRGGAACTGGGCCGRGCAGTGATGRCTTTTTCGTCTGGATTAGGAGCACAGAACATTCCCCCCAGGGGGGATATTTTGTGATTAGGRGTWGGAGGACGAATTGAGATTAATTGCCCAATGGGGCTGGCGCCAGTGGCCTGCACTTGGGGCTGCAACTAAGCACTTTTTTGTCGGCAAAACTAAGCGAGCCAATTTCAATTTTGCCCAAAAAATCACCTAAACTCTAACGCGCTAAAACAACCAAAATCTGGCGATTTTGACCCAAGCCGTCATCCTCAGGCATTTTTCGTGCAACCATAATTCGTCGCCCGTGATGTTCATCTCTCGGTGAACTCGCGCCGTCCTTGTCCCACCCGTTGTGGACGACCGTGACTGGAGAGTCTGGCCCCAAAATAGCCCCCGACGCCCTGGCTCGTGCCTCGCCATTCAGACTCTTGACGGGGGTCTGAAATGGGGCCCGAAATAGGCAGCCCCCCGGCCACAAGGCTGTCTATTTCCAGCCACTGCAGTGGCTGTTGCGCGATTGTCTAATTTCGCCTGCAAAGTGCGACTTTTCTCGTAGCACCAAACGGGTTAGGAGGGCTTGATGGGGCTTTTCCAGGCTCAATCGGTCGAGCTGGGGCACTGGTTGACCGACTGCGGCTAAAAGTGTTTAGGTGCTTAGGGCCTTCAAGCAGGAGATAACGGGGCAACAAACCGCCAGTTAATCGCGAAGCCAGGCCGCGGCGCGGCGCTGGCAACGCCGCAGCCCCATTCAATGTCGGCCATGTTGTGCCTGCACTTTGACAAAAGCAGCAACTCCAGTGTGGAAGGTTGAGCAAAATTGAGGCAAAACCGCCCGAAATCCCCGCACGGAACCCGCCGCCACCATGGGGAGCAGGCCAGTGACGTAAAGCAGCCGCCGCCACCGCCCACCGACCCCCCTGTTGCTCGTCCCCAGCATTGGTATGTGTCATACGTTGACAACCTACTTATTTACCTTGTTTTGAGGTGGCTGTGCCTCCCCGTGGGGCCCCCTACGGGGGCAGTTCAGCCGGGCTGCGCCGCCCGCCCAGGAGGCCCCCAGCCGCCCCAAATCGGGTCATGAGTAGGAGGCGCCTTATCAGGCGTTGATAAGGGGATTAGCCTGGTTTTGCAACAGCAGTGTTTTGGGTTGTAGATCGTTGAGACCATGCCAGGCCCGCCGCCGCCACCGCCGCCAGGCCCGCCGCCCTTCCTAGGGGGCGGCAGCGCCCCCGACGGGCGGGGCGCCCTCCTGCAGAGCATCCGACAAGGGGCGAAGCTCAAGAAGACCGTCACTGTGGACAAAAGCGCCCCAGCCATCCCCAGTGAGTGGCCCTGAAGGGTTTCGAGCGAGTGGGGCTGACTAGACCGGGTGTTTCAGGCAACAACAGCAGCGCCCCGCGCAACGGACTCTCCAGCAGCCCCATGCCGAACGGCATCCCCCTGGGGGGGCTATTCGCGGGCGGCATGCCCAAGCTCAAGGCCACAGGGCTGAGGGGCCCCAGTCCGGCGGGGCTGGGCAGCCCCAGCCCGGCGCGTGCAGCGAACAGCGTGCAGGACCAGTTGAAGCGGCAGCTGCACAACCCGAGCGACACTAAGACGCGGGGGCCCCCGCCGCCCGCCCCAGTGCGTCATGTAAGCGCGGCCTTGCCCGCCCCCCTTCGATTGGCGCTAATCGGCTATTTGTCCTGTTAGATATCGGCGGATGAGGGGCGCCCAGCCAAACCCCTGGCTGTTCGCTTGAACGGGGCGCAGCCCAACCAGTCGTCGCTGCACGCGACTGCGGCCAAACTGCACCGGAAGTCCAAAAGCAACGCCAATCTGTGCGCCCTGGATGCGCCCGATACCGGCAACGCGCTCAGCAAGCCGGCCATCAGCCACGGGAAGCCCCACTTGGCGCCCAAGCCGCCCCTTCTGAACGGTAAGTGGTTGAGTGAGTGTGTGGCGCGCTCTAGGTGAACGTGGGTTGCAGGCAAGCCGGCGCCGCCCAGCAAACTGAGCCTCAAAATCAGCCGGGCGCAGAGCATGCGGGCGCCCCGGTCGCCCTCGCCCCAAAGTCCGCCCGCCCTCGATGTGGGCAGCAAGTTTGGCACGGTGCGCAACATGAGCTCGCTGCTGGGGCAGTCGCTGAACAGCTTGAGCGCGAGCCCGCGGCCGCGCCCTGCCCTGGCCGGCCGCCCGTCGGTGCCGCCGCCCTCAGTGCCGCCGCCGCCCACTCCCAAGGCTGCGCCCGTCAAGCCTCCGAGTCACGCGCCTCCGCCGCCGCCCGCCCATGCGCCGCCGCCGCCTCCCCACAAGACTCTTTCGCAGCCCAGTCGCCCGCCCCCAGCCGTAAGTCCTTTGATGCCTGCCGGCCCTTTAATCAATCGCCGCCCTTTGGCAGGTGCCGGGAAACAATGCGAACCCGCCGCCGCCGCCCCCGCGGCACTCTTCCATGCGGGACGTGCAACACCAGCAGACGGCGCGCCGGTTGGCTGCCGATTTGGAGGAGAAGTTCCGCAGCGCCTTCGCTGCGCCCGAGCGCTTCCCCCGGCCGCCGCCCTATCGGAACGTTGTCAAGTCGTACTCGAACAAACAAGGTTAGTTGCATGCGTTTGATCTTCATCCTGGTAGGTTTAGTGACTGGAGCTCCATATTTCTCTAGAGTCCTCCTGCTAGGACTGCATGCACTTTCGTCCGGCTCGCCCGCAGTGTCACCTAACCTCATTGATTGGCGTTTCTGGCGTGTTAACCTCTCCCCACTCTTTCTTTCTTTGGTTGCGATTGGCGTAGACTAGTGTGTGTGTGTGTTGGCATGGCGAGTGGGCGGAGTTTAGTAGTGGCAATGTTGCAGTCGGCGGCAAGCAGCAGGCGCCGTTGCCGCCTCCGCCGCCTAAAGCGTGGAGCTCGACGTCGGCCTGCTAGCGATCAGCGAGTTCTTCTTCCTCTTCCTCCTCGCGGTTCGCGGTGTGGTTTCAGTGACGTGACGGTCAATAGGGCGTGGCCTGTGATACGAAATTTATCAATTAATTTTAAAGGCTGGCGCGGAGGGCCCCCCAGGACAATCGGCGCTGGACGCTGCCAGTCAATAATTGTTATTATTAGGGCGATTAAGAAAGTGTCGGCGCGGCCGATGAATGTTTGTAGTCTATTTTTCTATGGTAATTCTCTAGAATAAGTTGCGTAAGTTTTAACGGTTCGAGTCCACTTACTTACCCACTAGTCACCTGTTGTTAACGCGTGTTTGCAGCGCATATTTCAGTGCCTAAACTAGTAAATTATTTCGTCTGTGCGTGTACATAACTGATGTAAATATTCCGGATTTAGTCGCTAGGTTTACTAGAACGAAGCGGTTCAATAAAATCAATCTAACAGTTGTTTTGACGGCGCATTCACCCAAACGACCAGTTCACTGTCTTCCCTCCATGTCCAAGCCTTTCAATCACTGAGCCTCATTGGAACTGGAACTTTTGAGTATATCCGCATTCCGAGTAACTTCTTATGTTCCTGACGATTGTCTGAGGCACGTTCGTCAAACGAATGGCAATTAACATTTGGCGCATTCACCCAAACGTCCAGTTCACTACCTACCCTCCGGTTTTGAGTAACTTCTTATCTTCCTGGCACAATTGTCAAAAGAATGACAATTAACATCAGGCGCATTCGCCCAAACGTCCAGTGGGCGGTAGTTACTTGGAAGGGTTTGGCGAGTTTGAGTAAAACACAAGTTTGTCCCATAATTTCACAAACAGTATATTAGCTTACAATTACAATCGACTGTATATTCCAACAATGTGAACTTTACAACTAAAATACTCACCAAAATCGGATTTTCTTTGGTGGGAAGCGGACAAAAGAGAAGAATGTTCGGGATGGGCGCCGCCGTGTTGGTGATTTGGTTGATTGGAGGTTTTGGCGGATAAATTTGGGGGCGAGACGATTAGATTTGAGAGAGAGCAACAGTGATGGGGGTAGAGGGGGATGATCGAGAGGAATCGAGAGAATCCTGACGTGTGAACAAATCTGTTTCTTTTCGTTTGGCTAAACAATTGTCTGATTCTTCAAAAGCGAATTCTTGATTGTTCGGAATTTTTCATAGAGACGAGAGAGAGGCTTCGCAAGGACTTTTGATTTATTGTTTTCATTGCATTTGCTCAACATAAACTTCAATTTTTCATCCGAACGCTCTTGTTCTCAACCCTTTTTAAAAATACAGAAAATCAAGATTAGTGAAATCCTGGCAGCTGCACCTTTATTACTGGCTAAAGCTAACTTAACATCTACGCTCACATTGGGGATGTACATTCACGTGTCAATATGCGTCTGTGTAATATATATATGTAGCAATGGGGAAAAAGGGGGGCTTTAGTGATTGAATTGAATCAAACTGAACTGAGGCTCCACACGTGTGGGGAGACAGTCGGTTAAAGAGAAACTGAGTTAAGATCCGCGTCTCAAACCATCCGAAAGCACCGAACGTCGTCAAAGTTAAAATCGACCTGAAATTTACAGGAAATGAAACTAAAAAGCTGCTAAATCAAAGGGGGGCACCGCAACGTGCCCCTACTACTGGTCGCCCCCCTGCAACTAAAGCGCGGTTCGGGGTAAACAATCGGCAAACACCCACACGCCCATTCAACCGCTAGATCTAGATGTACTTACGTGGGGAGTAGCTGCGTGAGCGGTATCTCCTGCGGCTGCGGCTGTGGTAGGGCGACGGGGAGCGGCGGCTGCGGGAGCTTCCGTAGTAGTCATCACTAGAACAAACGCGTTTTTTGTCACTTGGCTCAAAAACCATCACCGGCCAATACTCACTCCCTATCGCGACGTCCCCTGCTCTTGTACTTGTCGTATTTGCTGCAAAATAGTGGGCGGATGAGTCAAGCGGCAACGCGCAAAGGTGGGTGTGCGGGGGGCCTTTAGGCCGCCCCTAGGCTTGACGGGGCGGCCCCTAAACACCCCCACTGCTTTCTGTGCCCGCTGGGCGGCAGCCATTCCCCATCGTGGGGCAAATAGCGCACGTCCCTGTCGGGCTGGTTTAGTCTAAGGAACTTACTAAGTGGGCTTCCCCATGTAGATGCCGGGTGTGGGCGTGTGCGCCCTCTCTGTAATGGAAAAGTCCACTCGGATGGTCTTGTCGTTGATTTTCATGCCAGTGCACTGTTGCTTGGCCACCTTGGCCTCGTCAGTGTCCTCGAAATAGACGAAGGCGAATCCCCGCGATCTTCCCGTCTGCAACCGACCCCCATTAGGCCCCACAGTGCGCCGGGCGCAGCCCGTTCACTCACCTTGGCGTCGATAACGACCTGCACACGTGCCACTGCCCCGTACTTGCTGAAAATGTGGTAAATCTCGTCCTCAGTGGTGTAGACGCTCAGGCCGAACACCCCCAGGCAGTTGCTCGGTTTCGGGTTGTCTCTGGTGCCAGTGTGTCGCCTACGGCTGAAAGAACCCGCCTGGAACCACAGCTCATACGATTCCGGTATTACTGACCTGTCCCTGCGGTCTCTGCTGCCATAGTCACGGTCGCGGTCGTCCCGACGTCGCTCCCGGTCACGCCCGCGGCTCCTACTCGGGCTCCTTTAATGCCCAAAACAGTCACTACCTCCACTCCGCCACCAATAAATCAACTCTTACCGGGAGTAGCTCCGCTCCTTGTGGTTCCTCGGGGAACTGTCTCGTCTGGGGGAATGGTCGTGGTCCATCGCAGTCCTAGAAAGCATGGCGCTGCATCAAAACCGCAAACGCGCGGGGGGCCCACCAGCACATAACCTCCAAAGGCCCAAAGTGTTGTTGGTGGGCCCGATGGTCACACTCACCTGGTGTTTGCAGCAGGGTCTCAGCAGCGCCTTGAAGACTTCGCAACAGCTCGAAAGGGACTGGGTTCGGGATAAACCGCGTTTACTATTCACGATATCCGCTTTTAGATAAAATGGCGTCCGGTGTTTGGCACTTGTTTTGGAAACGCCACCCTCTGGCGGCCGAACCCTCCAATTACCACCCGCGCTGTTGTCAGATGGGCCAACAAATAAAGCGAATTGAGGGTGACGGTGCACTTTAGATATGGCGGATTTTGGTTTTCTTTCTAATTGTCCCTTAAAGTACGCTTAAAATAAAGAGCATTCAGCGGAAAAAAATGCGGATTTTCCATAGAATCATGCTAGAAAACATTTACAAACTTTAACAAAATCTTCATATAGTGTTCACATTTACGCCGTTTTGTGCTGTGTTGCCAGACTGTAAAAAATGGTTATAAGTAAATGGAATTTTAGTAGTCGTGATAGATAGAAACTTCAAGAATCGTGTTTTTAATTTCGTTCGCAATGGAACTGTCAAACCGGCAACGCTGCAATGAGGCGCGCCAGCGCAATCAGCCTGGTCTAGTGGGGACGGTTAAAACGACGGAATGGCCAATCCTATAAGCCACAAAATGTCCCCTGGGGTATGTTCTGTGGATGTCATTGGATAGCGCCCTCTCGCTCACAGAAGCCGGGTAGGATTGAGGTTAAAAACAAACTGTCTCATTCCCCAGTATATTACGCAAAAGGGGGCCCCTAGGGCAACAAGCGATTTACAACAACAGCTCGACTAAAAAGTAAATTTCCATTGGTACAAGACTAGGGCTAAGTGGGGCCCGCGCGCGCCTACCGCGGGAGCAAGGGGGGCGGCACTCCGCCCGAGATGGCGCCGGTGGGGCCCAGTAGAATCTGCAACGACACACAAAGCTCAGCGGGGGTCCGGCCCCGGCCACCCAGGGCTTACCTGTTTCTGCTGGTTGCGCTGCATCTCCTCCATGTTGGCGCGCTCCACCTCAAAGATGACGGGGGCGAACAGGATGATGGAGGTGCTGAAGACGACCCAGGCGACGCTCCGCGACAGGCTGTAGGCCTTGCAGAGCCCCATTTTGGTGGTCATCACCGTGGTGTGGGTCACCTTGCGGACGCGCTCGGGGAACATCTCAGTCAGGCCCCAGAGGCGCTCGGACAGAGTCTCGATGAGCTGCAAGAGTCGCGGGGCTTAGTGGGCTTCGAGGCCCCACGGGGCCGCCTCACCTCTTGGGCGTCCTCGGCGCTTTCGATGGCGGGCTGTTTCTTCGCAGGGGGCTCCGAGCCGGCGCCCGCCTCCTGGCTGGGCTGCTTCTCCACCTCGGGGTCCACCGACTGCGATCCTTCCTGAGACTCCATGCCGCTGTCGTGGTCTTCTGCGGGGGCCATAAGACACGCAACTTAAGCTCGATTAAAAGGGCTGGGGGCTCTGCACGCACGAACTGATAGAGCAGGCAAGCAGCGCACCTAACCTCAAAGCCGCAAAACGGCTCGCGCAAGCGTGCTATCGCGCGCGAAGTTTGAGTGGGCTGCCCTCAAACGCCCGCTGGGGCACTCACCTGCAAAGCTGGTTGAGGGGATTCTGGAGGATTTCCTCAGCAATCGAGGAGGAAACTTTGACAGCCGTCACTCCAAAGCACTTTGCCCTGTTTTTCTGGAATTTTTCGCTGAAGCGCGGCGGCAACGTCGCCGCAACCGTCAATTTGACCAGAGACAAGTGTCTGTCTAGTTTCTGATTTGACGTTGAGTTTGTTGTGGTGTTTTGGGACACAGTGGTTGAGTTAAGTGGAAATTGAGGAGAAATGGGGCGCCGCAAGTCGAAACGGAAGCCGCCGCCCAAGCGCAAGGCCATCGAGCCGCTGGACATCCTGTTCAACTGCCCCTTTTGCAATCACGAGAAGAGCTGCGACGTGAAAATGTAAGCTTTGCGGTTAGGTAGGGGGCTGTTTTCTTACGAGCAAATATGAATAGGGACAAGGGGCGAAGCACCGCGCGGATAACCTGCCGGGTGTGCCTGGAGGACTTTCAGACCACCATTAACTTTTTGTCGGAGCCGGTGGACGTGTACAACGACTGGATAGATGCGTGCGAATCGGCGAATTGAGCAATGAGGGCCCCAGTCAGTTGAATAAGTTTAATTTTAGGTACAGACGCGTAAAAAATATGCATTAGAACTAGCCTAAGGTGGTAATCCGTGTAAATATATCAACTACTGTCTATCTAGCCTATCTAAGCGTTAGTATGCAGCGTCTTTGGGGGAGGATTAGAGCCGGATGTAGCAGCGCTTCTTGTCGTAGTAGAGCAAGGGCGGGGGTCAGGCCTGGCTGTCGCCCTCGCCGGCCAGTTGGTAGTGGTGGCGGCGCAGCTTGGCCAATCGGTAGCGCTCCTCCTCCAGCTCCTTCTCCAGCTCCAGCACGCGCACCTGCGCCTCCATCTCCAGCCGTTTGGCCTGGTGGAGGGACAGGTTGCTGACGTCCAGCTCCTCTGCGAACGCGCCACAATTAGCCCGCCGCCCCCGAGCACGCCTTTGTTCCCACCCTTACCAGTCTCCTCGATCAGTTGGCCGCAGTCCTTGACGGTGGCGACCACTTCGCCTGTAGCGCTCGTCACCCCTTTGGAGGCGTGCGTCAGCTGCTGCAGATTCTCGCTGTTGCGGTCCGCCTTCACTCGGCTGGCCACCACCAGTTGGGCGGTGGAGGCGGCGATTTCCTGCGCCGCCACCACCAGCTGCTCCAGCTTCCCATTGGACGCCACCACTTTATCGGCTGCCGTCCTAAACAAACCACTGTGAGCCACTGGGGACTGGGAGCCACGCGCCAGACTTACAGCAGGAACTGGGCGGCCACGCCCACCGCCTTGGCCGCTGAGATGAAGCCGTCCGTCCACTGGTGGTTGCGCTTGTAGAACTCCTGCGCGCTGGCGGTGCCCTGCAAGCCACGCCCCCGTGAGACTGAGTGGTTTAGTGGGCGCAGCAAACTCACCCGGCCTTGGCCCACGATCTCCGCCTGCAGCAGCCGCGACTTTTTCACCAGCAGCCGGATGGCCTGCATCAGTTTGGTGCAGCTGTCCAGGATTTTCTCGTTCACCTCCAGCTTGATGCCGGAGTCGGCGGCGCGCGACTTTGCCAGCATGTCCTGGATTTTGGCGGCGGCCGCCTCTATCGCCTTGTCCATCCTCGCCATTTCGTCCTCGAACATCTCGTCCAGGTTCCCGGGCTGCAAAACAACTAGTTTAGCATACACTTCAACTTTTTGCCTGGACGTGTGCCGGCCAATCAATACCTTCTGGCCGAGCAGCGACAGGCTGATGCTGTCGCCCAGGGCGGCGATTTCCTCCAGCTTCTGCAGGGCGGCGTTGACGACAATGTCCGCATCCTGCCGCCCCTTGAGGTTGGCGAGGATGTTGAGCGCAATCTCGCCCAGCACCTTGCAGGACTCGGCCATTTCTGCAATTTACGCGTTAAATGGGGCGCCACTGCGGGCGTTTAGCACCTACTTTCGCCGAAGGCAATGTCGGGGCTCGTGTTGCAGGTGGCTCTGCCCTGCAGGATGAAAACCGCCAAGCGGTGGGCGATGCAGATGGCGCTAGTGGCCACGCTGGCGTGTTCCTGCAGGTCCAGCCGGGAGCTGCCCGATAGGGCCTGGCGGCACCCTGAAAAACCCCGCTTTCAATAGGGCCATTTGACCGATTGCTTACTTGCCTGGCGTCAAGCTGCGCAGATAGTCGGGGCTGCAGGTGAGCGCAGTAATGGCCGGGTTGTCCACCTCGTGGATGGCGTGCCTGAGCAGGGCCTCCCCGGTTGAGATGGCGTGGCTCAGCAGCGCCTCCAGCTGCTGCGTGGCAGCCTGGCGCTCTAAAGCAAACTTAGGGGTCGAGGGCCAAAAAAGAGAATGAGGGGGTACCTTGGTCGAGCTGGCGCTCGAACTGCAGGATTTTGTAGGCGAGCTCCTCGGCCTTTTGGCGCAGCTGCTCCTTTTCCTCGGCCACGCCCTGCAGCTCCTGCCACACCGTCTCCTTCTCCTTGCAGGCGTCAGCCACGCTCTTCTTCAGAATCTACGACGGGCAATTGAACAATTCAAGGGCGGAGCCATGCGAATAGACGGGCCTGACCTGAGTCTCCATGTTGAATAGGGCGTGGTCTTTGCGCAGCAGATCCAGCTCCTGGCTTTGGCGCAGGGCCGCGCCCTCCAGGCTGTCCTTCTCGCGCTCCAGCTCGCCGATTTGGTCGATCTTCTCCAGCGCCGCCGCCAGCCGCTTCTCCACCTCCGCCTTTTTGCGGATCTCCGCCACGTGCTCATCGCGCAACTTCACATAGATCGACTTCAGCTTGTCGAACTTCTCGTGGAACTGTTTCTCTGCAATGTTCCCCAGTTAAGGGTTGAGGCGAATTGGTATCATGGGGGGCTTACGCTCCGAGTCCTGGCTCTGCGCCACCGCAAAGCTCTGATTGATCAGGTCCTCTTTCAGCTGCTTCTCCTGCTCGAGGGCGCTGGCTTGCGCCTGCAGCTGCTGCTCCAGCCGGCCGATTTTCTGCTGCAGCGCCCCCATGTCGCGCTGGTTGCGCGCCATCAGCGCGCCGATCTCGGCGCGCAGCGACTCGCACTGTGTACGCAGAAACTCGCGCTCCTGCACGATCTCCTGGTGCGCCGCTATGCTCACTTGGATCGTGTCCACCTGCTCCTCGCTGGTGTCGATCAGCGTCTCCTCCTGGATCGGCTCCTCTTCGGGCTCCTGCGGCACCACCACCTCTTGCGTCACGTAGCTGCGAAAGTCGCCCACTATCAGGAAGTTCGGCGGGTTCTACAACACAGCCTTTGCTTAGGAAATGGGGCTCAGCCCACACGTGTCAACCACACACTGACTGACGGTTGGATGACAATTCGGAACGCAGCTTTGCTCAAAGGGGCCCCTTTTCGGCTTAAAATTAACGGTTGGTGCCTACCATGCTCCTGCTCCAGCCTGGCCCTGCTTGGTGCCCCGCCACGCATCTACACCTGCCCCACTTGCTCGATTTGAGCAGTTTTTTGCGTTTAGAGGCGAAAAATCGCTTGTCAACTGTTGTCAAAACCTGCGCCAGAGGGCGTGGCCATTAACAAAATTCTAAATATTTATTATCCATTTGCAGCGCGCGCGACAAGGGCAGCACAATGCTGTGGAAAGAGACAGACACAGTGACTGGTTTGAACTCAAGCAACTGTTTCCGGTAATTATTGCCAAATGGGGCAATTATTGGACGAAACCCCGGCAAAATCAACGCGTTTCGACCAGGCCGGAACGGCAACACTGGGCAGTCAGTGACATTGACGTGGACGGTGAAAGGTTTGAACTGAGTGCGGTTTTTCGCGAAAAACTCGCCAAAAACGAGTGAAAGTGCGGTCAAACAGCAACAGCTCTATTGCTAAGGGTGCAAAGAAGCCCCTGCCCTAGTGGGCCCCTTGAAATACGGCCCAAGCGCGCCCCCCCTTGGAGTCGGCAGCCGCGTTCCCCAATGCCGGTGCGGAGCCCCATTAGGGGCTGAAAGCACTGACCTCTGGCAAGGGTGGGATGGCGATCAGGTCCTTGAAGTACTGCAGATTGCTGGTGCTCTCGTAGAATTTGCGCAGCGCCCGGAACTGCTTGGTGAAGCGCTCGCGATGGCCGGCCAGAACATCGGGCGGCAGCGTCATGTGCATCTTGAAGAGCATCTTCACGCAGTAGTCGTAGAGCTTGGAGGCATCTGGAACAGGCGGATTGGAGGCGCGATGATCGGCGCCGTGGGGGGCGACTCACCTTGAATGCAGGGCACCAAGGGGGCCAGCCGACACTGGCCGGCGCTGGTCATGGAGTTGGAGCGCGCCATGTTCAGCGACCCGAACACTGCCAAAGACGCGGTTTAATCAATAATCTAGACGATTGATGGCGGGTTGCACTCACCAGCCGCCTGCAGCCCCAATATGTGGTCCAAATAGTCGAACATCTCCACCGTCATGTCGAAGCTGGAAGCCAAAAGGCGTTAGCCTGGGGAAAACGGGACTGCAAAGGGCTTACTAGTTGTTGACGTCGTCGCCCCCGATGCTGTCCAGCTCCTCGGGAGTGACGCCCAGATGGCCGGGAAAGCGCGGGTTGCGCCGATGGAACTCCAGCTTGTTGATCAGGAGCGCCGTGTAGAGGCGGATCATGCGGCCGTAGCCCTCCTTCAGGTGGCCCCACAGCTTCCCGATCTCGTCCAGCTCGTTGCGGTGCCGCTGACTGTCCACCAGGCACAACGGGTGGCCCTCCCGCAGCACCTTGTGCACAACATGGCACAGCTTCCAGGCCACAATCCGGTCGTCCATGGCCGGCAGCCGGAGGGCGTACGCCCAGAAGATCTTGGCGCTCTGCGTCTGGAACGTCCCGATGATGGCCGAACGCACATGCTTCTGCTTCACCGGACACTCTTGTCCATTGATGGCTTTCTGCAGGGCTTGCGCCTGCAATGGGGTAAGTGCACTTCAGTCTATTGCTGGGCTTTGGGGGCTACTCACGTATTTCTCATAGTCGCGATCCGTGTACTCGCGCGCCATACTGGCGTCTAAAGGGCATGCAATTGGTTAGTGCTACTGGCCTGCCTGTTAATCCAAGCAAATCGGCAACTAATGCCACGGTCTACCCATCACATCACCTACCTGCTGGCGGATAAGATAGCCATGCTATCGCCTGCTATCTTATCTGACACGGCTGATAAGGCTAGCCTGATTGGGCCCCCCTTAGTTAAAAGCGCCTACCTGCTCGAGCGCAGCCCCTGGGCCTCACACCTACCTGCGCCTTTTCGAACACTTCCCTCTCGATTTCCAGGCTGGTTTTGCGCGGGTGCAGCACACGCGGCAACGACAACGCGCTCATCGCTCAATCGCCCCGCTTTGGCATCGAAATCCCGGATTTTACTCAACTTTTGCTCACCAAAGACAACACCCGCCTTCAATCCGTTTGTTATGACTTTTTGGTGACAGCGACAATGCCCAATTGAGTGAGGGTGTATGTAGCAACATCGCGTCTGGGGGCAAATGTTTATTTAAAAATTCCCGATTAATCCAGAGAGTGAATGGCTCGGGCTGAACCCACTCGGGGAAGGGCGTGGGATTTAAAAAAATATTTTGGTGTTTTTTGCGCAAAATTCCCGGAAATTCAGGTTAGAGTCGGGTGGTGACAGCCCTCCTAACCTCACTTAGAGTGTTTGAGTGAAGATGGAGCAAGAGGGGCTGCAGGAGGAGGAGCGCGAGGTGCTCCAGTCCATCTACGAGGGCGACGAATGCTTCAAGCAACTGGACGCCCGCACGTTCCAGTACAAGGTGAGAATGGGCGGGGGCCCCCCTGTAACCGGCCCGACCTGACCAGCGCGCTCTTTCAGTACGGCGCCAGCGACCCCATTAAAACCCTGCTGGTGGAGCTGAAATGGGGGCCCAACTACCCGGAGGAGCGCCCCCAGGTGAACCTGGACGTGTTCTACAACAGACACCTGTAAGACTGCGCTTGCGAGTGTCGCCCCCCAGGCAAAGCTAGCGTGTTTCAGGCTGGCGGGGCTGAAGGCCAAAGTGCAGCAGCTGGTGGAGACGGAGGCCGAGCAGTACCTGGGCATGTCCATGACGTACTCGCTGTTCGAGTTTGTGAAGGAGCGCTTTGAGGAGCTGATCGAGGAGCAGCCCGAGCACGCGCTGGAGCTGGAGGTGGACAAGCTGAGCGTGGACGAGCAGGAGAGCTTGGGGGCGAAGCGCGAGAAGAAGGAGCAGCTGACCAAGGCGCAAAAGCGGCGGCAGTGGAACAGGTACTTACCCCCCTTCGTGAACGAAGTGGCCGAGGCTCAAGGGTGGTTTTGCAGGCTGGACGCCAAGGGCGAGAAGCCCAGAGGGTGGGACTGGGTGGACATAGTCAAGCACCTGTCGCAGACCGGCAGCAAAGAGGACGGCAATCCGGGAACGTAGCTTATTGGCAGGAATAAATTTATTTAATGTACAAATCGCTTTCAATCAGCTGCCCGTGAAGGAGACTGCGGTCCGGGTGTGCGTGAGGGTGGCGCTGCCCTGCGACAGCCCCCTCTTCACCTGCAAAAGCCCCGCATTAGCCTCAATCCTCCACCCAAAGAAAACTCACCATTTTCATGCGATAGAGCTGGTTTAAGGCGTGCGGCAGGATGGGCCGGACCGAATTGATCTCCATCAGCGTGAGGTTGTCCACGGCCGCATACATTGAGGAGTTTCGGATCATGGAGTCCATGGAGGAGCGCAACTTGGCCATGCGATTGTCCCAGATATCCTTCACGATGGTCTTGACCTCGTCAGCCCTGGGCACGTCATCGGCTGCGCCGCCCAGCAGCAGCTTCGCCTCCACCATGTAGTGCTCGCTGGGCATCTTCACAAACGAGCTGCAGTGAAAAGTGTGGAGTGTTTCTTAAGGCGGCGCGCTTTTACCTGCTGGCCGCCTTCTCCTGCCGCCGCAGCTCGGTCAGCGTGTCCACGTCCATCCACTCGGGCGGGATGATCTTGCAGTATTGCTGCCGCTTGAGGCTCAGCGCCACCCAGAGGGGCACCCGGCACGGGATGGTGGCCCGGAAGGGCCCCACGTCGCCCCCGATCAGGTAGATGGCGGGGCTGTTGAAGGTGGGCACGATTTGGATCGGCGACTTTTCGCCCCAGAATTCCACCTCGTCCGGATCCATCGGAGCCCCGCAACTCCACTCCAGCCGCCAAATCACAGACTAACCTAGAAATCTGGGTGTTTGGGGCGCTGTTGCAAACCCATGTTGCTATTATATTATTTTCCCACTAATATTCCTCTGCACCAGCCGCTGGTGCTGCAGCTGATTTTGCCAGTTTTTTCCAAATATTCCCTGCACCCTTAGATGGCCAAGGGCCACTGCAGCCCGAGGAAGCGAGGGCAACTTTATGCGCGAAGGCAGGCCCCTGGCGACGCTGCCAAATACCCAGAGGAACTGGCAAACCAGCTGACATTGTTTACAGGTGGTTGAGGCGACTGTTTGTATTCGAAAAGCCAACCAACTGTCAGGCGAGTTCGAAAAACCCCCTTTAGCTAGAAAGTGCAGGCGAAGCCCTGTTGAGTGTCGGGGCAATGGAAGACCTTCCAGAGCCCCTGGTGGGGAAGCTGAGTAAGTGGCCCTCGGCCCCGCGGGCGGGCGCCCTGAGTGACTTTTCGGTTGTTTAGCGCACCGGCTGCAGGAGATCCGCCACAGGGCTCTGCTGGCCGTCGCCAGCAAGCTGGAGTGTGGGCAGGCCTGCGGACTGGCGCGCMCCCGCCAGCTGCTGTTCAATCTGTTCCGTTACTTCGAGCTGGACGAGGGTGGCTTGGAGCAGGAGGCGCTGAGTTTGATCGGGCGGCTGTTGCAGGTGAGTGCTGGCGCGGCGCCCACTGCCGTTCTAGAACTAGAGTGCTGTTTCAGTCGACTACCGGGCGCGAGCTGACCGCCCACATCGGCAGGCCAGCCATTCGGCAGCAGCTGGAGACCATCCGCTCCTACATCGACCCCCAGTTCCACCAGCAGCTCGATGGCATGTTGGCTGGTTTGGGGGCGCCTGAGCTGGCGGTGCCGCCGCTCTGTCCCGACGTGCCGCTGAGCTTCCGAAGCGATGGGTGCGAGGCGCTGAGCACCGCCCCCACCATCCAGGGGCTGGTGCAGCACAGCCCCTCGCTGCAGCTGGAGCAGGCGTGTGCTGTACCCAGCAGCAGCCCGGGCACGCCTAAGCAGCAGAGGTTTCCGTGGCAGGTGCTGAGTGAGAGCGACGAAAGCGCGCTGCGCGCCCTTGAGGGGGCGCTGCGGCGTCCCAAAAACGCCTGCCACCTGGCGCAAGCCTGCGAGTCTTTCAGCGACGAGCTGATTCTGGATTTGCCCCCCGAAGTTTTCCTGCAACGCCCCGGAATTGTTTGCGTAAGTCTCGATGATTGCGTTGAAAAGCTTGTGCTCAATTGGGGCGGTTTTAGGTGCTTCTGGGCCTGCTGGGCAGTGAGGGCGTTGGTCCGCAGGCCGGCCTGGTGCTGCGCGCGCTCAGCAAGCTGAGCAGAGGCCTTCAAGCGCGCCTGAGTCAACTGAGCGACATTTCCCTGCGGAGCTCCAAGGATGAGCCCCCTGAGGCGGACTGTGTGGGGCAGTTGCCCGTTGAGCAGTTTTGCGCCCAAGGGGCGGCACTGGCGCTCACCTGCCTCAAGGAGGCGGCGCCAGCCCCCCGGGTGAGCCAGGTTAGTTCTAGATAAATTGGCGAAGGCCCCGTTCTGATCGGCGCTGATCTAGGCCTGCCTGCTGCTGGTCAACGAGCTGCTGCAGCTGCTGCAACTGGTCGGCCAGGAGCTTCCTGGCGACTGTTTGGTGAGGCTGGGAGATGCGTTGGAGTACTTCCGGCTGCAGTCCGCCAGTCTGGAGCACGAGTCGCATTGGCGCCGGATTTACCTGCACCTGCTGTGCATCAGCGCGCAGCGCCTGCCCGAGCAGGCGCTGCCCCGCAGCCTGCAACTGGCGCTCAGCAACAGCCTCTTAGATGTGGGGCTGGCGCAGCTGTTCCCCGCTGTGCACCAGCAGCTGGTGCGGATCGTGCAGCAGGCCAAGGGCGGCCTGCAGCGCTTTCACAACGTGGGGCTTCTCAAGGAGGCGCTCTCGGCCACCGTGCGGTTGCTGCGCCGCCCGCCCTCAGACGCCGCCCAGTGCTTGGTGCTGGCGCAGCTGGCGCTCCCCAGCGTGGCGCTGCATCGGAGCCCCCAGTTTCTGCAGGCCTTTGTGGATTTGTGCGCCCGGCAGTGCCTGAAGGGCGCCACCGGGGCCGTGCTGGCGCTCCTGGCCAACCGCTCGCTTGAAGTGCGCCAGCACATGTACGCGCTCTGTCTGGAGAAGGGGGCGCGGGCGCCCCCCGTTCCTGCCCATGTGGGGTTTCTGCTGGACGCCCAGGTTTTCGAGGAAATTGCGCTGTTTGGCGCCGAGGTGGGGAGCCACGCCCAGGAAATCCTGCTCTATCTGCTCAAAGGCCCGGTGCTGGCGCAGCCGCAGGGCCTGCTAGCTCTGGTGCCCGCCCTCCCAGTGCTGCTCTGCCACGCGGGCAACGCCACGCCCCTCGGCCGCACCCTGATGGAGCTGACCGATCCGGACACGGCCCGCGTTCTGGGCGTGCCCGATGACGCGCTGTGCCGCGCCAACATTCTGCTGCTGTTCTCCAAAGAGGCGGGCGTGAGGTGAGTGGGGCGTTCTACCAGGGGGCGTGGCTAACAGAGTGCGATTGGCAGGGAGGAGGCGGCGTCGCGGCTCAGTTGGCTGCTGGCGCAGCAAGACGATGCGCGTCTCTTGCTGCCCAAGTCGAGCAGCGCCCGCAAGGAGACGCTCAGTCGCGCCTGCATGATGCAGCCACTGGTGGACGTGAACAAGCTGCGCCACGCGCAGCACTTCTACCAGCCCAGCAGTCTGCAGCAGATGGTCGAGGTGCTGCAGTCGGCGCAGACGGAGCCCGCCATCCGGCGCTCCGCCCTCAGCCAGCTCAGCGTCATGCTGGACGACCACTTGATGCACGAGATGTTCCTGAACGGGGGCGGCGTCGCCCTTCTCACCGGGCTGCTGCGCGCCGCCCTGACTGCGGCCGATGCCACCTGCCCGGACTCGGCCATCGCCATCGTGGGCGCGCTGCGCTCGCTCGCCTTGTACCACTGCAGCGTGCGCGCCCACCTGGGCGCCGACCCCGAAGCCCTCGCCCTGCTGCTTAGAGGTTAGTTGCCAAACGTCAGGGCGCGTCACTCGCTCACGTGTTGCGCACCTCGGCGCCCATTGGTGGAGTTTTGACTTTTGGGCTGTCGCCATGGGCACGAGGTGCCAACAAAGCTGCGCGTCCGGTTGTTTTTGGGGCGCAAATCCACCTTGATTGTGCTAGGGCTGCTTGAGTGCGTGGGCGACGAGCGCATGAGGCAGGATGCGGCCATTCTGCTGTTCCTGCTGGCCTTGGGCGGGTTTGTGACCGGGTCGCCTGCCCTGGGCGA